GCCTGGTAACAAAAAGTTATAGTGAATCACACCAGCCGATGACCACCACACTGTGACCATAATCTTTTTTTCGTGAGGATTCGGCTTTGGAAATTGCCTCGGTGGTTCGTCGGCATCCAACCACTGTCCGGAACGTCTCCTGTTATCATACATGATCCTTTTTCATCACAGGTTGACAATTTCGCTCCAAACGGTTAGCTGGGGTCGTTTCTGTTGCGTAAAAGCAGTGAAGAAGAAACGTCGAGACGTGCCATTTCCTGCCGGTCACTCAAATTGTGGGGCACTCACTTGTCGAGTTTTTTCACCTTCAATGCTTTCAGAGCCAACGCAAGATTTGCTAACGCCTAGCTTTTCTGCAGTCTCGTCTGAACTGTTTGGATGGGTTGCAACTCCACAAACGCCCTCAAAATCCTCATCAAATTATTGCTTTAGGTCGACCGCTACGAGGTTCATCTTCAAGGCTGAAATCTCCAGAACGAAATTTGTCGAACCATTGTCGCACGGTGCTTTCTCCAACACTATTGGCCCCCCCACACCTGGTTAATTTTTCGAGCTGTCTCGACTGCGGATTGACCCAAATTGTTGTTGAAGGAAAATGTCGTCTGAAGTTGCTCTTGACATGCTTCAAAAAGTGTGGGGAAAACGGGGTTTGTCAAGGAAAGGTGAAATGGCAATTACACCATCAGATAGCCCAAAGAATTTTCTTCAGGGTGGACTACTGAGACGCAAGGGAGATTCTTTTTAATCTAAGGTTTTTAATCAGCAATGAATGTACAAAAAATAGTAACACAAAACGCTGAGAACTTTCCGGACAACCTAATAGCTTCCTTCACTCTGCGACAACGCCGCCTCTGCTTGGCATAATCGATGGTCCGGCGCATAAGCAACTCTAGTACTGATTATATAGTTGACGAAAGGTCTATCAGATGAAAGGAAAATCAAGCGCGTAAAAGTGTCGAAAATTGGCAAGAATAATGAGACAATTCAATAGAGTTCATGTCAAACCACGGTGGGATCTGGTCAGAACAAATCTCATAAATGTGTAGTGTATATAAAGCAGTGCGATTTTTTTGAAGTTGACCTGGAACTTGTTGTTTTGCTTTGAAAATATATTTGAAAGGATAGCACTCTGAGAAAGTAACACTGAATATCAGATAGAAGAACAACAAGACATTCTGCAGCAGAGTAGCCCAAAAACAGTCAAGACACATGTTAGTGAAATATTCTCCAGCTTCTCTCTTCTTGCAACCTCGGCATGTTAGTAGTGAGTGTTCTAATATTCTTGTGCCTTACGAGGTTGTTAGGTGGAACTTTTATTAATAATGGCCTAACGTTTCGACTTAATCGTCGTCTTCAGAGGCCTGAATGTGTTTCAAGCATTAGATATGCAACCTACCCCACCAAGCACCTCGTCAACTCTAGCGGTTCCGACGTCATGTCAGGAACCTACCCCTCGAGAAGACGCCAATATCGCAAGACAGAGACTCACCAGTGGTTCCACCGTTTGAGCGGATAGGTCCGCGGCCACACTAGAGCGCTGTCAGTAGAAAAATGAAGAATACGACGTCTCCGTATAATGACATATCAGGAGACGGACGTCACGCTCTGTCATTCTACAGTTCGCAGTGGGGTATAAACGGTAGCAGATCGTTTGTGATGGCAGGACACTCATCTCGGTTGTTCATTCTGGGTTTTCTAGTGAATATCCAGAATGCTTCCAACGCTTTTCTGGCTGAGAGTTCCGTCTCATTTGCCAGCACACTGCACTTTATTTCGAATTCGATCCCATCATGTTCCACAACCTTATGCCTCCCAAGAGCAGTTGTAAGGGTACCGCGTCTCATGCTAGCAAGATGTTCCTTGATACGAGTAGCCAAGACCCTTCCTGTCTCCCCAATATATGTGGAGTTACATGCCTGACACTGGATTTCATATATTACCCCCAACTGCGCACAGTCACCAGTTTTCCCGTGTGGGCAAGGTAACGACATTTTCTGATATGCACTGCTTGTCATAGAGCCTGTTACGGACCAGCTGCTGCTTGATGCTTTCATTTGGTATATTTACCAACTGGACATCGTCCTGCAGCTGTGCTCTTGCTATGCTCCGTTTGATTGCAGCGCTTACCACATCAGAAATGAAGGGGATACATAAAGGTATCTTGTTTCGACGCGGTACGCCCTGTGGACCAATATGCTGCCTTCCCCGAGGACGTGGTTCCGTATAGCCATTCATAACGGCTATTTTTGTGGCAAGCTCTCGTGATTCTTGTCGTTCTACATCTCCTGTGCACATTCCCGTTGCTTTGGTCAAGGTTGATTTGCGACTCTATCCGATCTAGGGCCAAATCGATTCTTTGTGCGAAATACGACAGATTGTTGGAAACACGGAGGGGAGGCGACAATAGTCGTGAGAACAGTAGCACCACCGACCACCACCACACGAACGAAGCAGTCCAAAGTGGCGGACACTCGGAACGGGTCACTGTGATCGACGACACTCATCTCTCGCCTAACGCTTTAAGTTTACTAAGTCTTGGTCCGTTTAGTTTTCGTTCTCGCCAGCCCAAAACATCACAGCACAAGTGTTTCGAAAAGTAGTTGGGGGTCTTCAAAGGCTTAGAGATCTACTACGCATTAATAGCCAGCGTCGTGAAGAGCCGCAGATGACGCGCCCTTATCAAGGATTGCCTCTGAGTGTACCGTTTCCACGCACTTTCTACAGGGAGCCTCAACCATCACATCAAGTCGATGTTAAGTTCAGAATGTTATCAGCTGACATTCTAGCCGTTTTGAATAGCTTCAAACGGCAACGAAATACAAACTTAACACCGGAGCAATGGCTGGGGCTCAGAGAATTGCGTGAGCTAAGATGATCAAACGGTTCCATACGCATATCCGTGAGTGATAAGGGTGGCGAATTCGTAGTTATGTCACAGTCGCTTAGACCGCGCCATAACGGAAATTCATTTGCGAGACTCCACGGTTTATCGTCGCGTGTGCGAAAAGGACTTTTCATCACAATGCAAACGACTCAACCGTATCTGGTTGGGCATAGGAAAATCTGCAGGACTCGATGACAAGTTCATTAGTAGACTCAAACTGGACAACCCGAACTGTCCGGTTTTCTATAGCCGTCTAAATACGCCCTAAGCTATCCACTCATGCTGCCAATGCAAGCGGACAAACCATATAGATCAGTCCGTATCATGAGCTGGCGTGGGTGGGCCTAAAACCCGACGAATATCAAATGGTTGTCTTAACACGACATCGCAGCCAGCTTCTACCCATGGTTCCCTCTCACCTGCAAACACAAATCATTTCCTTGAACAGCTACGGCATTGCGATATTCCAAACAATGCTGTGGTAGAGTCATTTGATGTTACATCGCTTTATACTAATGTCCAAAACGAGCAAGCCCTTCAAGCATTATCCGAAATGCTTGACAGGCATATTGCTAATATACGAACCTTTGGACTTGGTAAAGCGCACATAATGACTCTAATCAAGGAATGTTTGAACTGTAACATCTTTAAATGGGCAGGTACATACTATTCTCAAATTAGAGGGCTAGCCATGGGTCAGCGTCTTGCACCAGTTCTCGCAATCTGCTTTATGGGCAGAATAGAGGAACCGGTGCTGGAGCGCTTGCCTCTAATGTACTGTAGATACATAGACGACTGTTTCATCGTAACATCAACACAGTCCGAAATGGATGAGTGTTTCCGATTGATGAATGAACAGTCACAGTACATTAAGCTGACACGAGAAACCCCGCAAAACGGTTGGCTGCCATTTCTCAACACGCAAGTCAAGGTATCCAATGGTATCACTCGAGTTAAATGGTACCGTAAGAGCAGCTCGAAAAAACCATGGCCTGATCCCGCGATACAATCAGCAATACACGATTGCTGTGAAACGCGCTGTTGTCCGAAACATGTTCCGAACGGCAACGGGAATGTGCACAGGAGATGTAGAACGACAAGAATCACGAGAGCTTGCCACAAAAATAGCCGTTATGAATGGCTATACGGAACCACGTCCTCGGGGAAGGCAGCATATTGGTCCACAGGGCGTACCGCGTCGAAACAAGATACCTTTATGTATCCCCTTCATTTCTGATGTGGTAAGCGCTGCAATCAAACGGAGCATAGCAAGAGCACAGCTGCAGGACGATGTCCAGTTGGTAAATATACCAAATGAAAGCATCAAGCAGCAGCTGGTCCGTAACAGGCTCTATGACAAGCAGTGCATATCAGAAAATTGTGTTACTTGCCCACACGGGAAAACTGGTGACTGTGCGCAGTTGGGGGTAATATATGAAATCCAGTGTCAGGCATGTAACTCCACATATATTGGGGAGACAGGAAGGGTCTTGGCTACTCGTATCAAGGAACATCTTGCTAGCATGAGACGCGGTACCCTTACAACTGCTCTTGGGAGGCATAAAAGGGGGCCCTGTGGAACATGATGGGATCGAATTCGAAATAAAGTGCAGTGTGCTGGCAAATGAGACGGAACTCTCAGCCAGAAAAGCGTTGGAAGCATTCTGGATATTCACTAGAAAACCCAGAATGAACAACCGAGATGAGTGTCCTGCCATCACAAACGATCTGCTACCGTTTATACCCCACTGCGAACTGTAGAATGACAGAGCGTGACGTCCGTCTCCTGATATGTCATTATACGGAGACGTCGTATTCTTCATTTTTCTACTGACAGCGCTCTAGTGTGGCCGCGGACCTATCCGCTCAAACGGTGGAACCACTGGTGAGTCTCTGTCTTGCGATATTGCGTCTTCTCGAGCACCTGAATGATAGTCGAACCGCTAGAGTTGACGAGGTGCTTGGTGGGGTAGGTTGCATATCTAATGCTTGAAACACATTCAGGCCTCTGAAGACGACGATTAAGTCGAAACGTTAGGCCATTATTAATAAAAGTTCCACCTAACAACCTCGTAAGGCACTCAAGACATAGAACACTGTTAGTGAATATACTTCGCTATTTAGCTCTGAAGTTTGTGGCACGGCCGATGCCCCTCGGGACGAAGTTCACAAAATCGCGTTTCACCGACCCCGTGACAGCAACTTGATCGTAACGGAGCCTGGAAGAGATCAACCTTCAGATGGTAAAATGAGGGCACACGATCACAAAAGAGGATGTCCTAGTTCGCTGGAACAACTGAAGGGGCGTGCAGGGCGGAGGAGTTGGTGCGGTCCAAGATCTGTTCTCCCACCACAGTCGTTGAAGAAACAACACCCGTTTCATCTGCAGCTGAATTAAAGTGTAGATCAAGCCTCCGTAGGACACGTTACATGAATAACACTTTTTTACTCGTTCTCTTATAAGTATGAGGGGTGCTGCTCTGTGGCAATCACTCATTGTGGTCATGCTATAGAAAAAAAGAATACATTTTTTGCTGTGGATTTTATTTGCATCCCTGCTCTTGGAAATGATAGAGGAGCATTTTTGCACTAGAAAATCACCAGCGTTACCTACCTCTGGGAACATTTTTGCCGACATAGTATGCCTTCGTTCCAATAGTATCGTCCACATTTGTTTTCACAGAGGGTATGGTGAACCTAAAAGTTTTTCAAACGAAAATATCGAGACGGGAAACTGAATCAATTCTGGACAACGGCACACAGTTGAAGAACTCTCTTTCTGTGTTGCTCTCAGCAGCGCTACGGTAGAGTCAAGCGAAGGGTGGTGTAGTAGGAATAGACGGCTGAGTCGAGGTGGTGCGAAAAAAAAGCTCAACTCAACCAAGCTGAAGAGGCGATCGTGATCTTATCGCAGACGAATTTTAGAGGAGGTGGTAGCCCAGGCTTGCGATGTATATGATTCAAAATTGTACGGAGACGTGATAAAATATATTCTTTTTGAATTCCAGTGCACCGCCTAACAATGCCCCTTCGGCGTAGTTCGGTGACGGGAGGGGGAGAGGGGGGCACATTGCACTTTCGCTGCTTCACTAGTTCCGGTTTACAGTCTCACTCTGGTGAAACCTGTGAAGCTGGAGCAAGCTCGTCAAGCCATCATGGTAAAACCTGTCAACTCGAGAAGAGGCTGTCTAGATGGGTCGACACGTCGATGGGAAGCAGCAAATGTGCACAATGCCCCTTGTCGCCAAACCACCCCTGCCCCTTGTCGCCAAACCACCCCTGCTCCTTTGGATCACAATTTTTCTACCACTGCTGCTTAAATTTGTGCTCAATATTGAAGTAACGTTCAGTCGCTTGTTGAAGGTTTCAAATGCACAGCATTTGACTGCCTGAAAGTAGACGTAGTCCCACGCTTGAGGGGTCCATGTCTACAAGTGACCAAGGTACGCTACTTCCGTGAAAGGGTGAAATATGCCACATTAGGGGTGAAAGTGTTTCAATAACGTAGGATGGTAGTGACCTTGTGAGCTCTCGACCCTAGGCTTTCCTCCCCCTCTCCTTCCCCTCCCTAATTTTTGCATATTAGTGTCGCCGACTTTTGCGCAATTTCTGTTTGCTGCAATCTTTTCGCAAGAATTGACGACTATGTTTCTACAGTAGGTCACACTGAACCAGGCTACTAGAAGGATCAAAAAAAAACAGACTAAACACACAGAAACAAAAAGGTAAAGATCGAAACTTAAAAAAATAGACTCTCCAAGTACTTTTGGATGTTCAGTCGTCTTCCATCTAATAGCGTAAAGCAACAGTTTCATAAACTCGTCCAAGAGCGATTCTTGCGATCTTGCAGGTGAACCGCTGTCCTACTTGGAGCGTCCTTTGCGATTTTCTAGTGTTTCCTTCACAAGCCTGGCGGTTACACCCCATCTCTCGCAGAGGAATGGGCGCGACCGCGTATCATACAAACGTGACGACGACTACGCTTTTGGAAAGGTATTGCCATTTTGGAACAGTTGTTATCATACATTTGCCCAGCACATGATAGGACGGCAGTATTCCCAGACGCAAATGATTTTTGAAGTCCTAAGCCGTGCCAAGATGAAGTGTGCCCCTATGTCCTCCCCATCTCCGCCCTGTGGAGTATGCTCTTCGCGGCTCATACTTGGACACCATACCCGTATCACATCATCGTACAGTGTGTCTTTAAAATGACTGGCGATTGGAAGGGGTATGAAGGATCTCTTGAAAAATAGCACTTCGATGCCTCACCTTTGGAACGTTGAATTCTGCGTATACTGAGGAGACTGCAATCACTGACCGACCTCCTAATTCTATTATGTGAAAAAGGTCCACTGTTTGAGCATAGACACCTGAAATAACCATCATATTGAGATGAATATGCTGGCTCAATAAATTCCTCTAGCTCACGACAAAAGACACTCTCTGCTCAAAAATTCTTGTACCATTCCACTTTAAAAATCGCTTAATCATAGGGAAATGACCATGTTCAAAATGGTCGAACCGCAGATTGCAGCTTCTGTGTGGTACAGTTTTCTAGGAGGATGCGTGAAAAAGCCTAGGGGGCAATGGAGAAGTGCAGAAGTAGACGTTTGTAAAACGCTGCACTCTAGCTCTATTATCACCTGTATCCGACTTGTCTTCGTGTGTTCCGTCATTCACGCAAGTCGACTTTGAGCCATCCGTTCCGGTTCTGTGCACGTCTTCTCCACTGTTGGCCGAACATTTTCACCATCGGATCGGCCCATCTCATTTTAGGCCTTCCCAGCGGTCGTTTGTGATCCAGAGGGATCCAATCAGTTAGCCGGGAAGTCCATCTGTTATCTCTTAGGCGCGCCACATGACCGGCCCATTCTATTTATACGACAATTCAAACAGGAGCACTAGTTACAGGCAAGTTCTCTGCTCGCAGGATGGGCGGAGCTGAGCCCACAGATGGGTAGCAACTCTCCCTCCTCTCGTCTAGGAAAGAGAAATACGCCAGTGTTTAGACCGATTGGTAGGCCCAGCACCGCTCATACGACAAAAGTGAAATATTCCTTCAGAGCAACCAGTATGTATGCTTGCCAATCCTAACCCCGCGAACACCCAAGCTAGGCGGTAATCCTAGTGGCAAACCCACGATTTTCGGTGCTGCAGGTAAACTGCCAGCCCGGTAGCGAAAACTTTGTCTAGCCATCAATGGAGAGGAGACTGGGAAATCGTCGGTCTCCGTATCATTCCCATGTCTTGAAGCCAACATCAACAGAATAAGTTCAGTTCGCAGTGAAACTACACTATATGTACAGTCATGATTCCCGCAAACGTTAAGGCGTGACAGGGCCTGGATTGGAGCGCTGCCAAGGAGGTCTTCCATCAACGGTGCCATCCTGAGTCCGCAGCCGGCGGGACGGGATGCTCTACCTGCGATCCAGTTCACGCTCCTTCACACGCCGTACTGTCTGCATGGATCACGACTACACGCGGCACACAGATAGACCAGCAGCCAGTCTCGAGGAATGATCCCAGCTATAAGAGGGCAAACTCAACTGTAGACTTGTTGAAAGGTTCTTCAGAGTGCAGAAACACGGCACATTCGCCCTCAATACACCACTTGTCGGAATTCTCTCGCATGTCGCGAGTACGGATATACTGT